ATGCGAAGGCAGATCATTTGATATGATTTCAAGTCTCTCTTAAAAGGCTGCAGTGCTTTCCTCTCACAACTCTTGGAGATCGTTAACACAAACATGATTTACTGCTTCTATTAAACATTCACTCAGGTCACTTTAGTGAGACACAGTGTCAACCATAACTCTGTGTTTGCATCAGGAGCTGTTTAAGGAAGAAAATGTGGGAACTGCCGTTTCTCTAGTGGCCACTTCCCTGGTGAAGATGAGCTGCTGAAGTTCAAAGTGAGCATCAGAATGGGGAAGAAAGATGATTTAAGTAATTTTCAATGTTGTTGGTGCCAGATGGGTTGATCTATTTCAGAAATCTTGATCTGCGGAGATTTTTCCAATGACCATTCTCTAGGGTTTACAGAGGATGGTGAGCAAATAAGCAAATATCCACTGAGCAGCAGTCATCTGGGGGAAAATGCTTTGTTGATACCCAGAGGTCAGAGGAGAAAAGTCAGACTGCTTTGAGCTGACAGGAACTCAAATAACCGATCGTTACAGCCAAGATACGGAGAAGAGCATCTCTGAATTCGTAACACATCAAAGTTCGAAGGAGATGGGCTACAGCAGGAGAAGACCAGACTGGGTGACAGGTAAGAAGAGGACACACAGGCTCCCCAAAACTGGACAGTAGAAGACCGGAAAAATGCTGCCTGGTTTGATGAGTCATGATCTCTGCTGCAACATTTGGATGGTAGGTTTCGGGCATCTTCTGATGGCTGCAGCAGGATAACACACTGCATCTCAAAGCTCAAATCATGTGCGGTCGACAAATCTGCAGCAGCTGCGTGATGCCGTCATGTGAACGTGGACCCAAATCTGGGAGTAATGTTTCCAGCACCTTGTTGAATCTTTGCCAGGTAGCTCTAAAAAAAAAAAAGGGAGTACACCCAGTACTAGAAAGATGTATTTCTACATTTCTTTTTCTAAATTTCTATATTATCTAACTGTCTAATTCTCTCTCTCATACAATTGCTAGAGGCATTGACAACACTTCAGGTGATAAGACTAAGAAAAGAATTCAAGACTCGGGTAGCAGTTTAGGCAAATTTGCGAGTAAAACAAAGTCAAGTGGAAGTCCAATTCTCCCAACAACGTTTTTTGGTTGATACCTCCTGAATATTTTTCACTATAAATTGAAGGAATATGGAGATTTCAAATCAAGACTGTTTACATAAATAGTGTCTAATTAAAGATGCATTAAGAACTCTGTTGATTTGCCCTTTTAATATTAACGTTTACTGTAAAATAGGATACAGTTAATGTCACAGAGTTGCCTGAAGCTGGTAGTTGTTTCCACTCTTCTTTATTTCCTGTCACACAATTGCCGATACTTCAAGTGTCCACTGTTTAAAGTTGCCTCTGACTCAGCAGGTGTTTGAGAAGTGGCATAAGCAACACTCGATGAGTTCATCTCAGCTGAACAAGTGGAGAAGACTTT